AAAATTATCATTGAATTTTTAATTTTCACTTCACCATTTCATAGAACGAGAATTGACTCACTGAAATCCTTCAGTTCAATGTATTATATGTATTTTTTTACTCGAAACAGATTTCTTATTGTGAATGTACTTAATGTTCGTATTTATTTTTATTTAGTATTTAGCTTAAATTTTAGAAAAATATTCAATATGTATTACAGTTAATCAATGCAACTATAAGATTAAAATTTAAGTTGAAAATAGATTTCCATTATTGAAAAGATTGTTATTAAATGAAACCACAGTAAAAAAAATTAAAACGAACTTTTATTTAAATAATCTGAAAGAAAAAAAATAAACTTTAATCGAAATCAACACAATTTACATACTAATGTAAAAACTTGTCGCGAAATTTGTAATGTAATGGATGGATGGATCCAGGGTGGGTTTGATTTAATTCAATATATACACAAAATAGTAACGATATAAGCATCTGCTTATAGGCATTTCTCGCTTACAAGCACCGAAAAATCTTTCATCTTCCCGCTTATAAGCACTGAAAATAAATTTTTGGTTTTGAAATTCTTTTATAAACCACTTGTACAGGTTCTGCATTTTGTTGCACATTTAGTTATATAAATGATATCTCAATTTAAATGAAAATTTTGTAGTCGTTCGTTTGGTTTAGTTACATACATACATATGTAGATGGACTGGTAGTGTATATAAACGAGGATTTCAATATAAGCACAGTCAGTGCTTATATGTAGGATTTTCACACAAGCACTTCCCGCATCTCGTGCATTCGATGATGTACATATTTGGGAAATACTTAAAAATATATCGCGCGTTTAAAAGGCGGAGTGCAATAACGCCCGCGGAAATAATGCCCATGGGCTTTGTTTCCTAAAAAAAAGAAAGAAATAAACCCGCGGGCGTTCTTTACATTTCGAAGGGGAAATAGCGCCCACCAATGCGTTAAATTCCCATCTGCAGTATACGCATAAAATCGAACCGCGGACGCCCGGAGCAAGCGCGATGATGCCAACGCGGACCGCCGCGTTTGAGCGTCCACAGGCTCGCTTCCAAATGTACTGTGGTGATGGGGATGACGCACGGGTTGTTTTAACTGAGAAGGCGACTGAAAATTTCACAAACTACAAAAATGAGTAAAGGACAGAAAAACGTGAATCACCCGTGGTCGAGTGCACTCTAAAAAGTGCATGTAAAACTACTACTGAAAAGTGTTTATTTTTCAACCAGAATCTGTTCAAGTATACGCACAAGATGTTCAAGATTTGATTTTGAACATGAGTTGTTTAAAATATACATATGAAATGTTTAAAATTACAAACATTTTGAAAGTAAAAATATATTTTTTACAAATAATAAATACTAAGTGCCAGGGGCGCACGCAGGAATATATTTTTGGGGGGAAAGGGTTTATACTTCTAAACATATATCATCAGCAAATACTGAAAATTCGCTTTTTAAAATACATTTATGAAAGTTTTATTTACGGTATAAAATAAATAAATAAACTTTTTAAAGTATGATCAATTGCATTTTATTTACATAAAATTTACAAAGACTCAGACATTTTTAACCGGCTTCAAAAAAGGGGAGGTTATCAATTCTTCTGAGTATTTTTACTTCTTTTATTTATTCCACCGCATAACTTTGCACCGCGTGAACCGATTCCAATAATTTTTTTTTTTACCTTAAAGATGGTTCCTTAAGGGTCGTCCCGCAATTTGGCTTAGATCCGATCATTTAATCATGAAAAAATTACGGGTAAAGATGCACTCAACTTTCAAAAGTAATACAAAATTTTACGGAATATCAATAAATTAAATAATTCCACGAAATTTTTACACTTTTTTATTAAGTCGATTTCTGGTTTCTCATTTTTTAATAATTCGAATAACGAAAATTTAACTGAACTTGTATTTTTATCATGTAGCTCATTTTGGTGGAACGAATTCGAAGTTAGCAAATTAAATCTTCGAATGCTTATTAAGTACATATCAGTGGTAAACTTTTTTTAGGCTGTAAAGTGTAAAAAGCAACAGTAAGTGAGTATGCATTGCATATTTTTAGGACAATGTTTTCATTCGCAGTTAAACTTTAAAGAGCTCTCAAGAGAAAAACAAAAATTCTTACAAAATGACGCACAAGAAATGGAAAAGAAAATTTTTTCTTTCAAAATTTCTTATATCATAATAAATTTAGCCCCAAAACCCACCCCTTGTGTGCGCTACGTGACAAATTTTATATGTAAAAGTAAACATACATTGTTTAATTTTGCACACACTAGGAGAGGAAACTGGTTACCTCTCTTTATATGCGTAAATTTAAACGAAAATTTTTTAGAGGAAATTTTAAACATTTTATGTGTAAACTGTGAAAATGTGAACAATAAATGTTTAAAACTCAAAAAACAAATTTGAAATTTGTTCTACGCCACACATATGATAAGTAAAAGTAAGCAAGCAGTGTTTAAATTTGCATTCATTAAGAGAGGAAACCGGTTACCTATCTTAATATGCGCAAATTTAAACAAAAATTTTTTAGAGTGTGGTTTGTGTGAAATCAAGGCACATACCACCAATCGGAGGAGAAGTTGGGCCAATCATTTTAAACTCTGCACAGATTGCTTTCAGAGCACAGTAGGTGTACTATTGGTAATACAAGTATTTGTATTTATTTTACTTTTTCATGTTCCTTTTTTTTTGTTGAAACTTTGAATTATTTAATTTCCACACACATGTACATGCATACATATGTACATATGTTTTAAATATACGCACTAAAATTTGTTAATTTAAATTTCTTCGTATAATTAAGGAAAAAAATATATTTAGTTCAATGTTATCATATTGGTTTTTATTTAGAACAGCGGGTTTTTGATGTACATATTCCAAAGTGGAGACAAGAGCAACAATAAAGATGAAATACATAACGCCCGCGGGCTTTATTTAATTTTTTAGGAAATGAAGCCCGCGGCCGTTATTGCCAAATCGAAATTTCTTTTTCGAAAAGGCAATAATGCCCGAGGACTTTGTTTCTTTTTTTTTAGAAAATAAAGCCCATGGGCGTTATTTTCACGGACGTTATTGCACTCACCCGTTTAAAACATTCGAATTTTTAACGAGGAGTTCCTACGGATGGAGCCAATCGGGCGTGTATCATCAGATCATGCTTACCATAAAAATTCATTGTAACCGGTATTAAACCAACATGTCAAATTTTCACTCGGTAGAATAAGAGCAAGCGCATCTAGTTCAGCTTAGAAAATTTTGTCTAAATTCCTGCGGCAGAAATAAAGGTATTGGCCCAATGCACGCTTGCTTTGCTTGCTTGGCTTTGAGAACTGTCAAACAATTTTTAAAATCTACTAAAATGTATGAAAGTTGGCCTAGTGGCAGCTTTACTTCACTTCCTTCAAAGTAAAGCAAAGCAAACTAAAGTAAGCAAAGCAAGCAAAGCAAGCGTGCATTGGGCCAATACCTTAAAGCTTGTCAAAAATTCATAGCAAATTTTTATTTTGGTTATAATTTACAACGAACAAAAATGGATCGTGTAACGAAACTGCAAAAGAAAATGCTCATTACACTCCTGCGTGAAACCAAATATATGGAAAAAGGGGGAAAAAGGAGAATGAATGGTATTGGGAGAAGATACAGGCGGCGCTAAATACAATCGGACCAAAGAAGACCATAATACAGTGGAAGGAGTGCTGGCGGGATATGCGTTTGACTACGCGTAAGAAACTTTCCGAGCTGAAACGTTGCGAATTGACAGGAGGTTCCCCGCCTCCAGGAATTGAGCTAAACCAAGAGGATAACGACATTATCGATATTGTTGGCACCGAATATTTCTATGAGGAAACGAATGGCGAATTAAAACCGGAGAACTTCATGTCTGGCTTCGATTATGTACCCGAACATTTTTGTGATGCAATCCTAACAGCTGCCGCTGTATCCAACGTTCAGCAACAGCACATGCAGCATCAAAAGGATCAGCAACATGCGGCACTACAACAGCAACAACAACAACAACAACAACAACAACAGCAAGATCATACGAATAATGATGGCGAAACAAATGATGCACCCGGTTCGTCTAATCACACCGACACGCATGGCGGCTTATATCAGACTCCCGGCGGTAGTATGCAATCACATAACGGTGACCATGTCTCGGGTAGTAGCTCGTCACAGCAACACAATTCCATGCCACATCTGCAGACGTTTCACGGTGGCTTGCATTCGCATTTGCTGCGTCGCCAGCAGCATGCTGCTTTCGCTCTACGAGGAGATTAAGCGTGTGCCCGAAGAGATTCGCCTTGATGTAAAGGCCGAACTCATACAGGTGCTAAAGAAATACCAGAAGAAGGCACCGGTTAAACAGGAAAAACTCCAGACGCAAACACATACACAGTCAGCATCGTCGTCGTCGAGCAAGCAAAGCTCTCCCACTAGAACCCGAAAGGAGATCTCCCTATGTGAGGAATAAAATAGTACTCCCCTTAACCTGATTTCTGAGCAATAAGGGAGATTTGTCGGTTTTGTACTCCTTTATTACTCGTTTAGGAATCAAATAGGACATCTCCTAAGCGAGCGACGTAATAATACTCCCCGAGACATGATTTGGGAGCAATAAACGAGATTTGTCGGTTTTGTCCTCCTGTATTGCTCGCTTAGGAGCGTAATGAGAGATATCCTAAGCGAGCAATTAAAGAATGCTCTCTGATGCATGATTATTACTTATTACCGTTATTACTCGTTTAGGATTAAAAACTGATATCTCCTAAGCGAGAAATCCAAGAGTCTTCTTTTTGATTAATAGGAGAGCAATACGCACCTCGTTCATAAGAAATTTTGTGTTTTCGAAAAAATTTATCATAGAAAAAAAAAACCAACAGAAAATATTTCTTATAGGCGCATAAGGAGGACACAATAATCTAATTTGGATAGCACACATATTTTAATGAAAGTCCGTTGGTATGAACCTCAACTTTTGTTTAAATATTTAAGCATTGTATTACTTACAAATATACCGTTAAATAATTTTCAGATTGCGCAAATTAGTGTTTGCATTTAAGTGTGACCCCCGGGTTTAAACATCGCATGGGTGACAAATATGTCAGATAAGCAAAGTCACCTTCACAAGTTCCCCGCCTGGTGGATTCCTGACCAGGCAAGCATCCTTGACAACCAGGAAATCATATACAAGTACATACTTATATATGCATATCTTATCTTACCGTTTTGTTATTATTACGTTTTACTTTCATATGATTTCTCTGCAATATAATTCTAAAATTAAGCAATTATGTAAGACGTATCATTTATGTTTTATCTGATCTCGTACTCATATCTGTTAATGTCTTGTAAAATTAGCACAAATGCACGTGATTAAAAAGTTCAATAAAAAATTTAATAAATAGCAAAATCTATTTGGCTAATTTAAAATGTTCGTTATCATTGCTCTCTGATTACTCCTATAGGAGGCTTTAGGGATTCCTCTAATGGTAGCACTCCCTTATTGCTCGTTCGGGAGGTATATGGGATGTTTTCTATGTGCACTCCCTTGTTGTCTTTTCGCGAGGTTTCTGGGAGGTAACTATGGGAGTACTCCCGTATTGCTCCATTAGAAGGTTTGTGGGATGATAATTCTGTGTTTGCTCCCCGATTGCTCGTTTAGGAGGTAAAAGGGATTACTCCCCCTCCTAGGACATCCAGTGTGAAAGGGAGTATACAAAATTACATGCTTATGCACAGAAGCATAGGGAGCAATTGGGAGTACTCACAAGGGAGTACTCACCGAGCAATCGTACGATGCTCCCAAGTTCTACTGGGTGTGTACATTTACATATGTATGTGGGTATATGAATTTCTAGTGACATAAGGTTGTGCTCTATATATACGGGAGTACTCCTATAGTTACCTCCCAGAAACCTCCCAAAAAGACAACAAGGGAGTGCACATAGAAAACATCCCATATTCCTCCCGAACGAGCAATAAAGGAGTGCTCTCATTAGAGACATCCCGAAAGCCTCCTGTAGGAGTAATAAGAGAGCAATGACAACGAACATTTTACATTAGCCAAATAGATTTTGCTATTTATTAAATTTTTGTATATAACTTTTTAATCACGTGCATTTGTGCAATGTTACAAGATCTTAAAAATAAAACATAAATGATACGTCTTACATAATTGCTTAATTTTAGAATTATATTGCAGAGAAATCATATGAAATTAAAACATAATAATAAAACGGTAAGATAAGATTTGAATTATATGCACCTATATGAACATATAAGCATGTACTCCTATATGATTTCCTGGGTGTCAAGGATGCTTGCCTGTTCAGGAATCCACCAAGCGGGGAAATTGTGAAGGTAACTTTGCTTATCTGACATCTTTGTCACCCATGCGAAGTTTAAACCCCGGGGTCACACTTAAATGCTGACACTAATTTGCGCAATCTGGAAAGTATTTAACGGCGCCTCCTCCACAAAATCACTTCGTCCACCGCTCGCCAACGTACACGCCTCGATCGCGCCCTCACTAAGGCACAGCTGTTGCGGCGGTGGATGTGGCTCTTCCGATGCCATCGGGTCGTATAGCCTGATGCGCATGTCAATATGGCGCGCATACTCTACGTACCCGTTACCGAGGTGTCTGGCGTCTTGCGTAGCGATGGAGAATTCGCCCTGCCTTTTGGCATACTCCTCTTCCTCGTCGGACGAGATGGTTATGGGTGTTGGTGCCCGCTCTGCTTCGCCATCACATTCACCGCTTGGCCCTCTGTCGTCGGATCGTACGCTTACGTGCGATGATTCGTGCTCTATCTCCTCCTCTTCGCTCGTCAAATGTGGCGTATTGTTTGCCAAGTACTCAGCACCCCAATAGGCAGCCATCTCTGCATCTTCACTATTTTGGGGCAGTACGAACGGCTGCGTACTTTCGAGGCTTTCGATGTCCTCGACGCCGATTTCTTGTTGTTGCCTGCCACTGTTGCTACCGCTCTCGCAGGGGCTACTTGGCCGGCCAGCGTCGTCATGCTCGCCTCCGGTGCTGTTGTTGTCGCTCGAATTACTCGACCGGTCTCCACCGCTGCTGTCACTTCTACTGTAGCGTCGAATTTCGTGCTCTGTTCGGCGCTTTATGCGTACGCGCAAAACGCCGCCCTCCACTTGCTCGGCTACAAAATTTGCCTGTTGCTGCTGCTGTTGCTCCATATTTTCGCGAACTTGTGCCTTGGCGCCCGCGGCACATCCTTTTTATTGCCGACAGTGGCCATTGCGTGACCAACTGTATTTTCCTAGTTTTCCGGCACTCTTCCAGCAAAATTTCGGTAATTTTGCTGCCGTTTCACTTTCACATTGCATATTTTGTTTTTATTTGTTTATTTGTCATCCTCGCACAGCTGTAGTTTCGTGTCGGGGTTGCTGACTATCCAAAAGGCAGTTTTGTAGCGTTGATGTGAACTGGAGTAGATTTCGGGTTGCCATTGCGGTATTACTCCTCTTCTTATTACGATTATTATTATTAGTAGAATTAGTATTATTTTGTTATTATAAATGTTTTAGCTATTATTAATATTTATAATTATAATTATTATCAATATTTTATAATTATATTACTACTGCTGTTGTTATTATTAATTTTAATATTATAATGATAATTATTATTATTATTATTTTTTTTTTATAATTTTCTTTTGTGCTTCGTGCCATCTCCACTTTCATTGTTTTCCCTTGGAACCTTTATTTTTTCTTCTTCTTCTTCTTCTTCTTCTTCTTATTATTATTCTTCTTCTTCATCAGATTTAGGATTCTTCGGCTAGCTTCTCATCTTTCAGGGTCTCCGCTGTCATGGCAGTTGCTCCTCTGCTGGCAATTGCCGAGTTCACACACTTCAGTCTCTGCTGAAATTTACCTATTCGCCGCTGTGCGCCGAATTAGGCTCAGACGATGCCACGGGGGAATTTTCACCTGAGGCGTTGCTCTCATAAAATGGTTTGAGATCACTCACGTGCGCTGTTCTTCTTTTCCCTTTGTGCACCTTGTCGAGTTCGACGATCACAGGCGAAATAAAATTTAGTACGCGATGTGGTCCGCCGTATTTCGGTGCAAGCTTAGCCGCGAAATTGTCCACGGCTTTAGACAAGAAGTGTTCTTTCACCAAAACCCTGTCTCCCACGACCGGTTGCCACGATCTTCTTCGCAGATTGTAGTGTCTCGCTTGCTCTGTCGTTGCCTTTTGTTGGTTTCGTCGCACTAACTCAAACACCTCTTTCATTCTCACCGCTTTTACTTGCGGTGTTGTGGCATCTTCGCCGGTTCCTAACGTATTCTCGTCATACAATGCGTTCGGTAACCTTGGTTCTCGCCCTTGGACGACGAACGCCGGGCTGTAACCCGTTGCGTCGCACACGCTAGTGTTGAGGGCCAAAGTCATTTCTGGCAACAGATCATCCCAGCTCTTCTGGTCTTTGCCTGCGAACTGCGCCAGTAGTCGCTTGATGTTACGGTTAGCTCTTTCCGTCGGATTTTGCTGCGGTGTGTACGGAGCAGTGAATTGGTGCCTTATTCCCATCTCCTCCAGGAATTGCTTAAATTTCGAGCTGGTAAACTGCGTTCCATTATCCGTGATCAAGATTTTTGGAATGCCGAATTTTCCGATAATCCGCTCTCTCACTGCTCGAATTACTCCCTCCGCTGTTGCCTTCCGCATTGGTACAATCTCGACCCATCTTGAGAAACGATCTAGTATTACCAGCGCCATAGTGTTTCCATGCTTGGATCGCGGAAGAGGTCCTACGAAATCAGCACACACCGTCGCCCAGGGTTCTTCCGCTAGCTGCGTCAGCATCTTTCCGGCTGGTTGCTGCTGGCTTGGTTTGTAAAGCTGGCAGGTCTGACATTGTCGCACATACTTCCTCACGTCGCGGAACATGCCCGGCCAATAATATCGCGCTGTCGCCCGCGCTATCGTTTTTCTGATCCCCATATGGCCTGCACTGGGAACATCGTGAATTTCCCTTAACACCCTCTGCCGTTGCTCTGTCGGTACACATAATTTCCATGGCAACACGTATTCACCGTCGATTTGGCCTGATATTCGCCGGTACAGCTCACCATTTTCGATGACAAAGTCAGGAAACTTCTGTGGGGACCTCTCCACCTTCGCCATCTTGTCTTTCAGCCTTTTGCACTCTACCGCTACTTCTCCCGCCGTCATCGAACCAAGCAATGTTTCCTGGGGCTGTCTTGACAGCGCGTCTGCTACCACATTCAGCTTACCTTTGCGATACTGCACATCGAAGGAGTACTGCTGCAGTTCCAGCGCC